CGACAATCTATCTCATTACGTCTTATACAAGTTTAAATATAAAATCTTAAGTTTGTAGCAATTAGTCCTTGTGCACTTTGAAGATTAGTAAGCCGGATTTTAAAACTCAAATAAATTAAGCAGATCACAGGAAGAGTCTGAGGACCAGATCAACTCTTGAGGTTTGTATGTATAAAGTCAATAGTGTTTCGGTGAAGCTTTTGCATGCATGCATGCATAGTTAATTACCGAATAATATTATGCATGCATGCATGATTAAGGTTTCTCTAACGTCTAACTAATAAAGTGTATAAAAGTTATTATATAATGTGTAATTAGTAATGATCGCCTAACTATTTGTTAATTTTTTGGTCCCTCTACATTTAGCTTAGCAAATATATAAACTCTTAACAATATCTAAACATCGTCTAGAGAAAAGAGGTTTAGCAAAGAAATTAATGATACGTACGAACATTTAGTCTATTCCCCAAAACACTATAGTAAGGTACTAAGGTTGACATATTATTATAGCAAGACACCGCGTATTAATTAAAGCTAAGGGTGTCAAAAAATTTCTTAGAAAAAAGATATTCTTTAAAAACAAAAAAAAACATCTCAGTAAATATTTTATCAATAACATATGTTTTAATATGGAATTTTGAAATTTTTATTTTTGGTAAGTATATTCAACGTTTATATGTTATTGATAAAATATTTACTGAAATGTTTTTTTTTTGTTTTATACGTTTGGTTATTGGTTTTAGAATATTAAAGATAATTGGATAGTATAATTAATAGTGTTTGGCAATGAAGATGAGAAAAAATGTGAGATTGCCATATCATCAAATGTTTTTTTAATGTATAGAGAATGTGATCCATTACAAGTCACGGTAATAAATTCACATATATATATATATATATATATATATATATATATATATATATATATCAGGAGGTTCTGCATTAAATCTCGTAATCACATCAGGTCCGAAACCACAACATATAATATTAGTTTCGTCCTAAGTGTCACTCAAACCGGAATAAATTCACATATATTACATATCACATACTAATATAATATGACTGAAATTAGTTATTTCTAACACCCACCTCTCTTAATTGATTTTTGGTTTTGTAAAAGTTAGATCCCTAATTCTTCAAACTGTTTGACCCTAAATACTTTGGAAAGCAAATTATCATCCTCAACTTCTCCTTGACAATATTCGAATTGGATAAATTTTAATATACTGGGTTTGAATGATAACCCCATATAACTTTAGTATATGGTATATACTAATCACAAAAACGATATAGATTTGCATTATTCCGTAAAAGCTTACTGCTCTAATAATTTATAGCTTAAAAAATTATAAATTTTGTGTTACCAATCGGAACCACTATATGATAAAAAAAAATTATTGTGCTTCATTTTTCGACGTTGCACAAAGAAAAGTTGTTTGTATTTAAAATTTTAGTTTGGAATAATTGCTAAAAATGGTTGAACATAAGATTTTAAAAACGACCGTGTAATATGTACATTAGATACAGTATCATACTACAATCCGTGGTGTTAGTAGTCAATTTATCTATCAAATTAAAATACATCTTACGTATTGAAACGACCATTAATATTTGTGATCGTGGAAACAAATAATTAGAAATTGGACTAACAATCGGAATATATGTAAATTTCTAAAAATATAGAAGACTTTTTTTGTGTGTTATAGTTAATTTTATGACTACAAAAGTCAAAAGAGCTAAAGAGTCAAAGAGTCGATGAATGAGAAGGCAAAGATGAGATGCACATGGAACAAAAAGCCAAGAGATTAGAGTTGGAAAAAATATGAGGCTCTTTGTTCATTGGTTGAAATAACGGATCCTAATAACTTTCTACAAACATATTGAAACGAGCGAAAATTGCTACTTTTAATTGCTTAGGTTACACGGTAAAACTCGAAATGAGTTAAAATCTAAAAAAAACCTTTATTCGTAGATTTCAGATTTGCATACCTTTTTAGTTTTTGTCAACTTCAGATTGCCTTCTTGTAATCACAAAATGTAAACGATCTTCGAATTATGAAACAACACGTGAAACCCGAATATAGATAATGATTCTCTCCATGCTTGGACTGATTAGTCAAAATATAAAATACGATTGACATTTCATTTCATAAATATCATAAGTCATAGTCAATACGGCGAAACCAAACCCTATCAAAACAAAACCTCCAAGCTTCAATGTAAACGCAAAGATTATGCAAACACAATTTAGTCAACACGTTCTCGTACTATGAAGCTACCAACTTGATAACTCCAACTTCATTCTCAAACCCACAATCATCGTTCATAAATAGTCCAAATTTCGCAAATACAAAACCAAAGAAAAAAATGCAATCAAGAATGGCCTCAACTACTATAATCATTTTTCTCTCATTCAGCATTATTCCATTACTCACCATCGTTAGAGCACATAACCATTCCGTCCATTGCCCTCCACCACCACCTTGTATATGTATTTGTAATCCCACGCCACCTCCGCCACCATCCAATACCCAGCCGCCACTGCCGCAACCCGATCCCCGACCGCCAACTCCACCAACATTTCAACCAGCACCGCCACCCAATGACCAACCACAGCCTCCCCCACAGACCACACCACCACCTCCACTAGCGACCACACCACCGCCACTTCCTCCAAAAGCCTTACCACCACCGTTGTCTCCTCCACAAACCACACCACCTCCTCCACCAGTAATCACTCCACCTCCGCCAGGTGGCATATGCTCCAAGAATGATAGCGAACTAAAGATATGTGCCGAAATTCTAGCAATTAGTGACGGTCTTCTAACCACTGGAAGAGCAGAGCCATGTTGTTCCATCGTCCGTAATGTCTCTGATGTTGATGCAGTTACTTGTCTTTGTAAGTCGGTAGGAGCACGACCTCTTTCTCTTTCTCCGAATTTCGGCATCTTTTTCAAAGTTTGTGGTCGTAGGATTCCACAAGGCTTTAGCTGTCCCGGACCATCACCAACAATCTCACCACCGCCACTTCCTCCACAAACTTTACCACCGCCTCCGCCACAAACGACACCACCTCCTCCACCAGCTACTACACCACCACTATCACCTCCTCTGGTTGGCACATGCTCCAAGAATGATACCGAACTAAAGATATGTGCCGAGATTCTAGCAATTAGTGGCAGTGTTATAACTACTGGAAGAGCAGAGCCATGTTGTTCCATCGTCCGTAATATCTCTGATGTTGATGCAGTTACTTGTTTTTGTAAGTCGGTAGGAGCACAGCGTTTCTCTCTCTCTCCCAATTTCGGCAACTTCTTTAAAGTTTGTGGTCGTAGGATTCCACAAGGCTTTAGCTGTCCCGGACCATCACCAACAATCTCACCCCCACCACTTCCTCCACAAACTTTACCACCGCCTCCGCCACAAACAACACCACCTCCTCCACCAGCTACTACACCACCACTATCACCTCCTCTGGTTGGCACATGCTCCAAGAATGATACCGAACTAAAGATATGTGCCGAAATTTTAGCAATTAGTGGCAGTGTTATAACTACTGGAAGAGCAGAGCCATGTTGTTCCATCGTCCGTAATGTCTCTGATGTTGATGCAGTTACTTGTTTTTGTAAGTCGGTAGGAGCACGGCGTTTCTCTCTCTCTCCCAATTTCGGCAACTTCTTTAAAGTTTGTGGTCGTAGGATTCCACAAGGCTTTAGCTGCCCATAATTACCACTTTCTTGCACCACAAACATTCTCCTCATTCTCTTTAAGTTTTAAATATACAACGATAGCCTTTTGGTTTTGTTTTGTTTTTTTCTTTGGTTCCAACGATGTAATAAATTACCAATGTTATATTGTACCTTTATATCAGTTTTCCTTATCATACTAGGCCTTTGCATTTGAGTAACCTTTGCATGTTCTATACTAGACCGTAACCCAAATCAAGAACCGCCGTAAATCAGAATCCGGTAGGACAATGACTCATCAAGATAAGCACATGAAATAAATATAAGCATCTGATGTGAAGAGCACGAAGAAAACATACACCATCAAGTAATGTGCTTCATTAGCTTACAATGTGTCAGCAAATTTATGCCTACAATTACAAAAGTTGAAATTGTAAGGAAAATGAATATGTAATAATCATGAAAAAAAAACAGAAACAAACATACAAAGAAAATTTCGTCACTTATTAAAATTGTCTCCTTTTTTTTCTGAGACAGGATTGCAATGTACAACATTGTTACTAGCTCTACAGTATGTTTGTTTATTTGTTTCTGGTTTTCTTATTATTATATTTTGATTTTCCTTTCACAGTGGAGAAGGAGAGTGATCTCTGAGAAGAGAAGCGAGTGTTTTTTGGTCGACTCATTCTTCTTATTTTTGTCTTATAAAATTTTAGGAAAATAATTTTAAGAATTAATATATTTTATTGGCCAACGATTGACAATATATTTATTCCATAATAATAATTCCATATTATAGGTTTTTTTTTTTGTCATCCGCAATTATTAGAGCTCAAAATAGCCATTCCTGAGGAATGTTGTTTACATAGGTGATATAAAGCGGTTCTGTACGAACTTTTCGTATCAGATTATCCGCCTTACCATTTGCCCTACGAGAAATTAAAGATAAAGAAAAAGATGAAAACTCATCCTTGTCGCTCTGAAATTCCTCCAAATACACTGAAAACGCCGGCCATTCGGTTGGAGAAGACACCATCTTCACCAGGTTTGAACAGTCTGTAAAGAACGCTACCTCTTGATTATCTGCACCAATCATACACTTCATCGCCCAGAGAAGGGCCTCGAATTCGGCATGTAGTGGAGATAGACTTCTACGGAGGTTCGCAGCTCCCATGGTTGGCGGCTCTCCATTTGACGATGTACAGAACCAGTCTGTACCGGAGAACTTATCACTTTCTTTCCATGATCCATCCATAAAACAACGGTATCCCGAATACTCCGCCTCAAGTGAAATATCCCTCACTCGATCTTGATTTACCAAGTCCACAGAACCATGATTTTCATTATAAAGCTCAAGCTCCATATTATAGGTTTATCTAATGGGTTTAATTATATAATTTATTATCATTCATAAATTAAAACATGGAAATTCTATAAAAATCCTTGATAGAAGTTTTGTAGTCATAAATATATAAATATGACTAAAATGAATGATTATATCTATTTATAACGATGTGATTTTTGATCAAAATAATGTATTACTACTAACAAATTAAAGAATATGTATGGAAAAACTATTTTAATATAATTATATAACCAAAATATCCATTTTAGTATAGCAACTTTATACTTAGTTCCAAACAAATGCCTATCGCCAGCTAACTTCCCTAGGGCTAGAACGTGGTCGGTCCAAGTAAATATTATAAAAGCCACTATTATTAATTAAATCATTTAGCATATATAATATATCATTTAATTCTCTACTCAAGCTATCCGCTTCCCCTATAAATACACACTTAACACTCTTTACTTTTCTATACCACAACTCTCTACGTACTTCTCAACTTCAAATAGTTTCTTTAGGGCTTTGTTTGTGTTTCCTTCAAGAACCAATGGCTCTTAAAAACTCTCTTGCGCTCTTCCTTCTCTTCAACTTCCTTTTCTTCACTCTAACTAATGCAACTCGCAGTACCAATTGTCCTCCTCCACCGGGCAAACACAACAAACATAAACCTAGCCCAACACCCACTAGCGGGACTTGCCCTAAAGATGCCTTAAAGCTCGGTGTTTGTGTTAACGCCCTTAACTTGTTGAACGACGTGACCCTCGGAACTCCTCCTGTGACTCCATGTTGCAGCCTTATCAAGGGTTTGGTCGATCTTGAAGCTGCGGTTTGTCTTTGCACTGCCCTCAAGGCTAGTGTTCTTGGCATTAACCTTAACCTTCCCATTGACCTTAGCTTGCTTCTCAATGTTTGCAGCAGAAAGGCACCACATGGCTTCCAATGCCCTTAAAATCAAAACGTCGATATATAAGTTACGAACCATGAAAAATCTTGAATCTTTTATCGTTTTGCTTTCTTTTGTGATTTTTATCTGTTTATTTGAATTGTTGAAGTTCATGAGCAACAACAATGGGTTTGTGTTGTTTACTTTTGGTTGTATCGCGAGTAATTTACTCATTTGTCCTATTGAATAAATTGTGCTATTGAATAAAATATAGATGATTTGTTTCTTTCTCTCAACATGGTTTTCATTTTATTTTCAGTCTCAATTATAAATTTATAAATTACCTCGAGTTAATTAGTACGTATATACAAGATAAGATAATTAATTCGTAAGTGTCGTTAGCTCAACTGATAAAGATTATAGGCGAAACTTAGATGTCGCCGGTTCGAGTGACGCTTGAGACGAAACTAATATTACATGATGTGGTTTCGGGTCTGGGGGGATTACGGACTTTGTCCCAAAACCTCCTAGTATTAAAAAAATACGATAATTAATTCATCTATTTTTTTTTTGAATATCTGGAAGTTCAAGCCTGAAGGTCCTACATCTCCCAGAGGTGGGACCCATACCAAGTTAAATTCATCTCCTTTGGAGAAGAGATCCCTTCCAATGGGCGTCGAATCCCGTACTTCTACCTGGGAGATTTACCACTGAGCCAACACAACGTTGGTATAATTAATTCATCTTAACAACAACAACAACAAAAAGTTATTATGTTTACTAATATCGTAATATAATTGAAATGTATGAAGAATTAAAGTTCTAATATAGATCAATAAATTTATGAAATATAGAACACTGGTGTGAAGAATTCTTTTGCAATATGTTTAGAACATCATCTAATGTTTTCATCTTAACAACAACAACAACAAAACCTCCTATTATGTTATTTCACGAATATTAAGGTGGTGGAGAATTTCGTAAATTTGTTTTATACTTTCATTTTTGTTTGAAGCATATGTAATATGAAATAAAAACAAGAACATTAGATGATGCAGCATATATACAACAGCAGATAGCAGTTTCATTTTTGTACGGGAGAGAGAGATAGACAATGCCGTTGTTGAGGTTCAAGATACGGAACGAGCTAAGTTTGGGTGGGCTGGAGTCTGGAGAGCGCCGCCGTGGAAGATGAAGAACCCAAGGTTGTAAACAATAACGTAGTATGTGTATAGAGTTTAAACTGAGAGAATTGCAAAAGAAAACACTTTTAACAAACACACATTCACCTACTGAATTACCAACTCTGACTTTACTACTTAACAACTAGGTAATAGGCCTAAACAAACAAAAAAAAAAATTGGTAATAGGCCATAATTAACTCTAACAAGTACGTAGTTTTACAAGTAAAAATATTTTGGAGAGAGAGAGGGAGAGAGAGATGAAATACTTGATAAAATGTTCGGATTGTTTTTGTTAATGTTTTATGAGTAAAAAAACATTTAAATCTAAAATAAAACAAATTAAATGAATATTGAATAATAATTGTTTTTAATTCATTTTAGAATACATCAAATAAATACTAATCCAGATTTCAAATCTATTAAAAACTCCAATCCAATAACACCTTTAGTTACAAATTCATATCATCATTGACGTGTATGCCACGTGTCGGCAAATGTGAATATTTGCAACCCACTAATTGAATTAAGAAGATAATTCACGTGGAAAAAATAATTCAACTTTCAGATCTCAACCACAGCCACTAGACACTCCCCGTGAACCCAATCTCTGTCATGTTTAATCTTTACTTTATAACCCAAATTTTTAAAATCAATTACAACAAAAATGAAATTCAGATAATAAGAACTAAATTCAAAGATATCTAAATGTATATAATTAATTTACGTGATAAAGGAACAAGTCAAATCTAAATTGATGTGCATGTTTTTTCCCGTGAACTCAATTTGTCATTTCCAGAGCTTAGGTGATTCCAGAAGAACTTAAATAATTAGTTAAATATTTAATATTATATTTGTACATCAGAAATTTCAGAATTTTAAATGACGGATCCAGATTTTGGAAAATATTCTCAAACCTAGCTCACAGACCAATTTCTCAATTTTTTCTTCTTTCTAAGAAGTTTGGTAGGTCAAATTAAACTAAAATCAAATAAAAATAAATCGATTAGCTCATATTCTTTATCTCCTGGAAAACAATCCAAATGATCGAGTTAAAGACAATTGTCAGCTAAAAAGTACCATTTCAAGGAGCTTGAAGCTTGCCTCACTGATAAATTTAGAATTAGATCAATTCAAAAGACCCACACGAACCAATGAACATGATACAAAAAAAATCAAAACATAATAGATTCGTATCATAGCTAACTGAATTGATACTCACGATCTTAACAGCTACAATCTCGAAGGTATCGATGTGTGTAGCTAAAGAAATCAACAAACATGGCACGTCAATTTCAAACCAAAGAAAATAAACTCGAGAAACAAAAAGACGAGAACACACCGAAAAAAATTTCTCCAAAGGAACCACAGCCAATCTTCCGTCCTAGCTTGTACTTGCCGCCGATGATACGTTCCATGGCAGCTCCGATCACAACCGAATCTGGATCATCATGCGCAAGGGATAGATATATAAATTTAGGGTTTTTTTTTTTTTGCTTCGTCGAATTCGAAGATTGAAATTTGCGAATAGACGAGACAGTAGGGGGCATTAACGAGAATATTTGTGTTTGGGTGACGTGGACAGAAGATTATTGCCACGTTGGAGTTTTTAAAATCCACTTGTTCTAAAATTAGCCAGATCTTCTTCTACCATACTTCTCTAATCTTTGGTCAACGCAATGTATCGGATAATTTTGTTTTGGATTTTACTAGGGTTATAGCTTTTGAATTTGGGGTTTTTTTTCCATAGGAAATTAACATAAAAAAAAAAAAACTTCTCCTTGTTTATTATGATTGCACAAATTCGAATTATATATGAATTAAAGACATACAAAAATCCCTCAAAGAAAAACATATTACGATTAAGAGATTTAGAAAAATAAAACATTAAAAAAAAAATAAAGAAGAGGAAACTTGAATTAGAATTGCATCTTCGAACATTCCGGAGGCATAACACCTTGAAATCTGTTAGTATCCTTGCAATAATCATATATCATGAAACCATCTCTTATCTTTTGCATCTTTGTGAGCTGCAATTCAGTGAGCTGGCTAAACGATGGTGATGTCCACCAATTAGACGGCACAGTTGGATCTGCGCATTGTTTGATGCTGATCGACCCCCGCCACAAACAAGCTCTTGCCTTGTATCTACGACCCTCGGCCGCAAATGGTGCTAGCGTCCAGTTGGTCTTCACTCGACCCCCTTGGGTTGCCCAGTCGTCTGCGTTCCATAGACTCGCAAACACTTTCATACCTTGCTTGTTCGGGTATGCGATTCCTTCTTTCTCGTAGTTCCTAAATACTCTGATCGGAGTTCCATCGACGAACCACCTATAAGATAGATAATATGATGTGCGTTAATTTAATTTAATTAGGTTGCATACGTATGACTATATACAAAACATGCAATCGTTTGAGATTCCTAAAGTTTTTTTGAATTTAAGGTTCGAAAAAGTATGAAAATAAAAGAAAAAATTATCAAGAAGTGTTTGTACTTTAATGCTGTTTTACATTAACAAACTAAACTATGTATTAGGTAATATTTAATCTTATTTATGTTTTTTTGTAGAAATAATTTCTTAATTAGCATTGTTTTTGAGTTTTTATAAATATAGACTTAAGAAACCACCCTAGTCTAATTAATTACTTACACAACTTCGGATGGGTTCCAATGGATGGTATAGTTGTGGAAACCATTGGTCGGATTGAACCATGGCCGGAATTGTTGCTCACGGTTTCCTTTCCCTTGAACATATATATTGGTGTGGATCGTGTACGGCTGACCAGTCGAATTTCCTAGGAACTCAAAGTCTATCTCATCGTGTGCACTTCCCGTGGACGATAGCTTAATTAAGAAAAAATATCCAATATCAAAATCTCAAGAACACTAATCTTTTTTTCTATAAAATTATCAAAGTATTGCGTTTAATTTTATATTTTGTTTGTAATTCTATCGAGTTGAAGATAAATTTTTACGTAATAGGCTACAACGGTTCCAGCAGAATCCCCTGGCACAAGTTTGATGAGCATTTCTACACTTCCAAACAAATGAGCCACCTTTGATCGAATAGCAGATCCTGCAAAATAAAATAAAATAACAGTTTTCATACATTTACTTATCAATTTTCAATCATGAAATATAGATTGAAATGGATTTGATTATTTGAAGTTACCGTGTTATATACCTGCAGATTTGTCTAGGACAAGCCGAAGGTTGCCACCAGTCATACCAATATGATCTTTACCCCATGTAACAATCATATTCTTGCTGAAGTCTGCCTCCACAAATGTGCGATCAAGAGTCGCTAACGCGGCCACCAGAACGAACATTAACGTCTTCGCTCGAAGACCAGCCATCTTACAAATTTGATTTGTGTTTGAAAAGTTTTAGATTGAGACTCTATTCGATCACGCCATTTGATTGTGAGGAAGGCTTTCTTTATATAGAAAATCGATTTTTTGACGTAGTCCAAAAGGTATAGAATTTTAACAATTGACGTGCATCTAATGAACTGTGTATGCATGAATTAGACAACATAAGACTTATAAGAACTAAATTCTTTCATATAAATAAAATACTATTCTGAAAAGGTACTATGAATATGCATTTTTCTTAATTTTTAATTACCAATGTGTGCTTTGATAAATAAAAATTAGAAAGAAAAATAAAACTAATATATAAGAAGACGGCCACTGTTAGCTGGCTCACGTAATTGTGGTACGGCCGAGGAATATACGTGGGGAAGACTACATAAATGGGTCATCAACTCCTCTTTTTCAAAATCAGAAATTTTACATGATAACATTTTTTTTAAAGATTATATTAAAAAAAAATTACCAATAATAACTTCGTTTGTCATCAATCTGTTTTGGATCAAAGCACGTCCGTACAATTTCTATTTTTAATGCCTTGTAGTCATCGCATAGGGCGTAGATAATTTGTTTGTTTGGTGTTATTTTTTACGTTGAATGGTGACAGGTAGCTAGGTTAAAATGCAGAATCTTTTTAACTAGCATGTTATTTCGAGAATAGTATATAATCTGATTTAGTTTCAAAAAAAAATATAGTTCTTACTCATTTTTTTTTTTGACAAAGTTGTTATTTACGTTAACTAATAATTATATACTTTTTCTTATTTTTTGCAAAAAAACTTTCATTCATCTAAATTATCAAAGGTTAAATCATTCATCTGAGTTCATACAACTTAAACTTAAAACATTACATGAAAGATAAGGATAAAAGTTCAATATGAGTTTTCCAAGATGCATAACTTCAAGAAGATGGCAAAGGTTGAAAGATCTTTTGGAACCTGTAGGAATTTAAATTTGAAGACTAGCTAGCTTCGAAAAATCCCGAATCAGCTTGTGATCAAAATAAGCTCGCGCGATTGAGGCATAAGAGCTTTCGTAGAAATGCTCTATGCAGGAGGCTGCGGGTGGAGTCTTTTTCCCGATGCTGGAGTAAGATTTCGGTGATGGTATCTCCTTAGAAGAGTAAATTTGCTCGATTCACCAAAGAAGATTATAAGTCTAAAACGCAGAAAATGCAACGAGACTCAGATGGAGTTTTCTTCCATTCAGAGCAAGGCTTAAATCATTCAGTTTAAAGAGGTTTCAGCGAGGAATTGATCGAACATACCAAGGCGGTTTTATCCAAGAGGTTCGAGAGGGTTGGGATGCTTTGCCATTAGTCTTGGGACGCCATGGTTAGGCTTCGCCTCACCATCGACCGCGCCATGAGATCTCGCCTCCTGTCTTTCCCGGGTTCCTCCGCGTAGCCGTTTGTCTCTTCTTCAAGTTTATTTTCGTAGTCTTTCCTTTCCTCTGTAATTATGGTCTAGTTTTTTTTTTCTTATGTTCCTGTGATAAAGGGTAAGTTTTTGTTTGTGTTAGGTTAGCTTGTATTTGTTATCTTGGAATGAAAACTTCACATTAAAACCAAAAAAAAAAAAACTATATACATGTTTCATAGGTGAATTTTGCCTGTATAAGTTTGGATTTTTTTCATGAAATATTGAAATAATGTAAAATATGGAAGAGTGGTGGGGTATGAAAGAGGTGTCTCAAGATCAATAATGTTATGAAATATAGAACACTGGTGTGATATCGATCGTCCAAATTTTTTTGAAAGTTCAAACGACGGCCACAAGTACTAGAGTGGAAAAATCTGAACATAGTAAATAATATAAAAAACAAACGTTAGCCTGACTCAAGATTTGCGATCGAGTAGTCGATATGATTTTTTTATGGTTTTGGTTTGTTCCAAGGTCAAGAAAATCCTAATCAAACGAAGATAGGTGCGTGCGAGGTTCATATTTCAGTGGCTTCTTAAAATGAACGTACACTCTCAATATTCTGATCTCGCAAACATTGTGTTTCTGCTTTCTGACTTATAGACCCATTAGGCCATTATCCAACGGAAATAATTCAACTTTCAGATCTCAACCACAGCCACTAGACGTGAACCCAATCTCTGTCACGTTTAATTTTTTTTTTTTTTTGAATATCCGGAAGTTCAAGTCTGAAGGCTCTATACATCTCCTAGAAACGGGATCCACCAAGTTAAATTCATCTCTTTTGGAGAAGAGATTTCTCCCAACATGCGTCGAATCCAGTACCTCCACCTGTAAGATTTACTACTGGGCCAACACAACGTTGGTAACATGTTTAATCAAATATTAGAAATTTCAAAATATTAAATGACGGATCCATATTTTGGAATATTCCCAAACCTATCTCACAGACAAATTACATACTAATTTCTTAATTTTTTTCTTCTTTCTAAAAATTTTGATAGTTAAAAACTTAAAATTAAACTAAAATCATATAAAATTAAATCGAATAGCTCATATTCTTTATCTCGTATTACTTTCAATATAAGAATCATAACCCTTTTTTGTTTCTAATCACAGTTCCGATATAGAAATCCACAACATTTTTATCATCAAAATTTCCAAATTATTAGAAGGCTATTATTATCATCTCTTTTTTTTTTATTTTTTCATTTATAAGTTTTAATTTTCTAGGACTATTGTAGTCTCTCATTACCAGGGTTCTAAATTTGTTATCTTTTTTTTTTTTGGCTAAAGACTATAAATTGGTTACCAATGTCGAAAAAAAAAAAATTACTAAATGGCTGTAATGTCCACATATTGGGCCTGCCAAGGTCCATATGACAAAATTATCTAAACCATGATAAACATCTCAACAAGCCCATCCCAAGATTGTCTAAAACACTTGTCTACTTTGGAAAGTACATATTCTTGTGTAAGAACTAAGAAAAGTCGTTTTTATTTTTCTCATTATCCTAAAAAAATATCATCTTCAAGATCAGTGTAGCCACTATTATTAAAGCACTCAAATACACTTTTTTCTTTTCATTTCCTCGAGAAAAAAAAAAAATGGCGAATATTCCGATGGATATCATCACCGATCTCTTCCTCCGACTACCAGCAACAACTCTAGTCCGATGTCGAATCCTCTCAAAACCATGCTTCTCTCTAATCGACAGTCCTAATTTCATCGAATCTCATCTCAATCAAACACTCCAATCCGGAGATCACCTCATGATCTTACTCCGAGGACCTCGTCTTCTTTGTACAGTAAACCTCGACTCACCGGATAAAGTCACCGACGTTGAGCATCCTCTAAAAACCGGTGGTTTAACCGAAGTTTTCGGTTCTTGTAACGGTTTAATCGGTTTATCGAATTCACCTACTGATATAGCGATTTTCAATCCTTCCACTCGGCAAATCCACCGGTTACCGGCTGAATCGGTTGATTTTCCGGAAGGTTCAACGACTCGTGGTTATGTGTTTTATGGATTTGGTTATGATTCGGTTAACGATGATTATAAAGTTGTTAGAATGGTTCAGTGTAAAGGTGGTAAAGCTGATGAATTGGTTTTTGGATTTCCTTATGAGATTAAAGTTTTTAGCTTGAAGAAGAATTCATGGAAGAGAATCACAAGAGTTATTCCTGCGATTCAGTTATTGTTTTACTTCTATTATCATCTCTTGTATCGTCGTGGATATGGTGTTTTAGCTAGCAATAGTCTTCATTGGGTTTTACCTCGAAGACCTGGTCTTATCGCGTTTAACGCGATTATAAGATTTGATCTGGATACTGAGGAGTTTGGGATTCTTGATTTCCCGGAGGATCTTGCTCATGAGAATATTGATATTGGTGTTTTAGATGGGTGTCTTTGTTTGATGTGTAACCATGAGTTTAGTTATGTTGATGTTTGGATTATGAAGGAGTATAAAGTTGAAGGGTCTTGGAGTAAGTTGTTTAGGGTACCGAAACCGAAGAGTGTTGAGTCGTTTGATTTTATGAGACCTCTGCTTTATTCCAAGGAGAGGGATAAGATTTTGTTGGAGATAAACAATGCTAAGCTTGTGTGGTTTGATTTGAAGAGTAAGAGGTTTAGAACGCTTAGGATAAAGGATTGTGATAGTTCGTATAGCGCGGAACTTCTTGTGAGTAGTCTTGTTTTGGGATGTAAAGGAGATCCTACTGAAGTTATGCGCCGCAAAGAACGTCTTGCTCGAGAAGATAAAATTATGCAAGAGAGAAACAAGAGGTTGTTTGCTTACTATCTCTAGTCAGTGTTTTCTTACTCTCATTTGATGTTTTGATAAGATTAGTAAGGCAAATACGTATTAAGATGCTTAAACATGTTATGTTACATCTCAGGGATGATTTTCTATCCAAGGGATTCAAGCTAGTGTTATGAGCAAAGCAGAGGAACATAGAACCCAAACCCAAAGCAGGGTAAGTGTTGTGAAATCTAATGATGAGTGTGTTTTTTTTTTCTCTTCAAGTTGGTATTTTTTAATGAGATTTTTATATTAACGTAGATGCATTATTGGAAGTCTTAGCAGGTGGAAATTGAGTCACTATCGTAGGTTAACGTTTACAATTTTTAGGAGCTTGTCTCAATTTTGACTATCTCAAATGTTCTAAAGTTTGAAATTTTCATTTAGATGCAAAGCTTGATCTGGTTTTTATTTTCAGGTTCAGGCTAAGGCGGAAAGGAAGCGGCTTCATCAAATCACATAGGAGTCTTAGTACTAACTCGCTTAACCTATGTATGTATGTGTCATTAGAAATGGCTAAAAGAAACTTCATCAAATCCCAGAGGAGGTCTTAGTACTAATTCACTTAACCATTAATCTATTTACGTGTGTATATGTATGTCATAAGAGAAGATGTATACTCTTTTATGTGTAATCAAAAGTCCACGAGCAAATTGGCGATTTTTCAGTACGTTATATAGTTAAGTGGTTTGAAGACAAACTTTTACTTTTTGGAATTGAAACAAGGATTCATCTCAGACAGCGTTAAACCAATTAGGCAATTAGAGTACGGAGCTTGAATTATTTTGCAAACTTTCTCGTATCACAAAGTTAGATGTTTATATCTCAATGAAAACTTGAAATCTATCCATTTTTACCAACAGTGGAATTTAGCCCACTGTTGTAATATTGGATTTACCCAAATAGTATTCCATTCATCAAAACCAATCTATTGGAAGAAGCAACATAATCGAAGAACCTAACTACTTTGGAAGACCCCATATCCGGCATCATTTTTTTTTTTTTGAAAAGACTGTAAATATCAATGAAAGTTTAGGTTTTACATGAAGTTAATCCTACAAACATGGTCCATACCAACAAGGTAAAAAAAATATGGAAGCATACCATTCGTTATTCACCTACTCTCTCTTTTACAAAGATCGTAATTCTACCATTTCCACACATATTGTGAAAAATGTATAAATTTCTTTTATGCCTCTTAATAATAAACTAAATTTATTTCTCCCTCAAATTAATAAGTTGTAATAGTAGGTTAAAATTGATATTTTAATTAGTAAAATTTGTTTTGAAAATTTAATGCAAAACTCTTTATAAAACAAAAATATAATCTAAAAATGACACTCTTTATTAAAAGGAGAGATTATTAACTAATACAACATTATTCTATAAAATCTTGATACATCCCTCATATATTAACTAATTTTTAATTTTTAATACATAGGATACCTAAAGTGTTCCAATATGTGGTGATAAATATCTATTTTTGAAAAATGGTTTATGCTTTATTATATAATATATATGTTTAGGCAATACTTTGAGTTAGGAATGTATATAACTAGAAATTGACCCGCGGTACACCGCGGGGCTATATTTTATTTTTAAAAGTCGAAATTTAAATTTTTTGAAGTTTATCTACAGATATAACCTATATTTTTTAAAAAAATTGTACATATATATCTATATATTATTCAGTGTGAGTGTACGATTAGTATGTTTTAGGTTTCAATTTTTAAAATATAGAAATGAAAACATACAGTTCATTAAGTAACGATGTATGGCGGATTTAAATTTAATTTCTTTTGTTGTTTGCATTTTATTATAATATTTTTAAATAATATAAATAATTTTATATATGTCAATAATGATATTTTTGAGTAAATAAATATTATAACAATGCAGTATGGATGTAATTGTAGCAAGGATAGTTATGGCTAATAAATATATTTTGTAGAGATCTTTTGGCAATGATTGTTTAGGTTAATATCTTTGATTTAATTTTGAAAATCTAAATAATAAATGCCAATGGGATGCCATCGTAAATAGTAGTAAACTCAAGGGATATGTTTCTTTTTAAAAATTAATTTTTTTTTTAAAAGATTATCTATTGATATAACCTATTGTTTATTAAAAAAAAAATCAACCCGCATGAAACAATATTCTTGAAGAATTTTTATTGTTGATGATATTGTAATGGTCTCATGTGTACGTCATTTTTTCTACACAAATTTTTGAATTAAGAAATAATTATTTGTTACTGATAAATCGATATTAATTATAATAGGTTTCCAAATATTGAGGGATTTTAAAAAGATTATTTTCTATTTTAAGTTTGTATAATCATATTAAATAATCTGAATTAAATGCGATAATTAAGGGATTTTGTTATAATTAATGGAAATATGAAAAAATCTTGGAATATCTTTCCATTACTCGATTTTTTTTTTTGATTTTGTCATTAACCTCTTTTCATTAATATTTTTTTTTACATAATAAGAAATTAAAACGGATCAAAACTAACTCTAATTCATAAAATTATTATATAATAAATGTGATCAAATTACATATATATTTTGTTTGTAAAACATTCTTATTGTTGATCCTTGCTTAAGTAGTACACCACATTACTCTTTCTCCAATAATACTTTCACGCTTAAAAAATAAGATCAAATCAAAAGAGGATTGCTATAAACTTCTATTTTCCTTCAAGAAAAAATAAGCAAATTAAATCAAGAACTTATATATATATATATATATATATATATATATATATATAAAATTAGTTAAAACTAAAACATACATAGAAAAGAAGTATAAGGAATCACTAAATATAAAATACATTAAATAAATAAAAAAATATTATATGATGTCATTGTTAGCCATAGAAAACCCCGTAACTGTTAGAAAATATTTTGAGATTAGAAAAATTATACTTACCAACCAAAATCCGTATCCAGAGTTTTGTAAAGGCTTATATCATAAAAACAATGAAAACCAATAACATTAGAATAATTAAAGTTAAGAATTAGAATTTTATTTTATTGAAAATTTATTTTTCTTCCTACCTTAAAGAAAATGAATTAAAAGAGTGAACTTGTTAGCCTACAAAATAAAATCATTAACAAACATCATGAAGAAATTAAACATGAAAATGTAAAAAAAAAAATACTGAACACTAAAAACAAAAATAGTATACATGATGATTAGAAGAAGGACTAACTAACCTTTTATTGCATACCTTCTTTAATAGTTTATAAGAGATGAAGTTGATGATCTCCATAGTTTTCCAAAATTTCGATGAAACTGAAACAAATTTCGATCAAGTCAATGGTAGTGATACATCCTCATGATCGTCTCTCATACATACATGCATAAATAGACAAATAATAATATGTTAGAAACGACAAAGCTTCATAAAATTATAAACAATAACAATATAAAGAAATATGAACTAAAAACGAAATTAGAGGTTTGGCGGAATGAATATTTTGATTAGTGGAATAGCATGATCTTATATATATAGTGAAGTAGACCGTGCTGGTTTAGGGTTTTCAAGAGGAATATTCTGTTTATCTTGCTTTAAATGTTTTTAATTATTTACGTTTTAAGAAAATTTTATAGTTAATTCTTTTTGTAAACTTGTCGAAGAATTATTAATACTCAAATCGTAAAGATATTTATGAGAGTATCTTTCTATTGTATATTCATTACTTTTATATATTTATTGTTACGATCTATTTTAAGTAATCTATATTTATGTCAAAGAATAAAAATTAATTTTTTGCTAAACTGATTCGAAATTGATTTTCAAATGATTATTCTTTCCAAAATCTTAACTAAAGATTTGAGCATTAAACGTTTTTAAAGTAATGATATATAGAGTAATTGGTTTCTTTAAAATCGAGATTTACGCAAGATTTTAGGAACAATAGATGAGATAAGGTATGTGATAGTAATTAGTTTAGATTGTGGAAATATTCGAAATCAATTAGAGATAAAATTTATTACGGTATGATTAATGTGGCTATTAGTTTAGGTAATATTAACAAAATTTATTCTGCGATTTATGATTGGCCAAATAAGGGATTAAAATTATTACAAACTTCCTAAAAATTTTTATCCAAGATCCGGATAGAGTTAAACCCAGGTAAAACCCGGATCCAAATGAATTAATGCAAAAAAAACCCTGTAAAAATGTATATGTAGATTGTTATTTTGATTTTAAATTTATTGCAATTTAAATGGGCAATTGCCTATATTTAATCTGTTATTGTAAAAGAAAAATGACATAGCTTATTATTAGAATATTAAACAAATTTATTAACATAATATATATATATATACTGTTAAAAAAATAAATACGTTTTTTTCTTTATAATTTCATAATATATGTATATATTGTTAAAATCTGAACATTTATTTTGAGCATAAATATGAAAACGATTTTCCATTAAAATCGGCTATTTATTAGGGTCATTAATATGAAAGATATTAAGACAACATGGCTTCATTTATTAGTTTGAAATTAAGACAACATCCCTTAAATTGCTAATCCAAGATCCGAATAGACTAAAACCCGGATCAAACCCGGACCCAAAAGAATTAAAGCAAAAAAGTACTATAAAAATGTATATGTAGATATATATTAAAAAGATTTATTTATGTAGAAACTATTTCATTTAAGAAATTTTGCTAACATATTCATATAATATTTTTTAATGGAACGTTGACAAATTATCTATTTTAAATTACTTAAATAAATGAAAGTCAAGTGCAAACATAGTTCAAACTGATAGAGGATTAGATTCCACATCATGTTTGATGGTTTTACATAAATTCTCATCATTTTTTTCAGTTGATTCTCAAAAGACTATTTAGATATTGATCCAAAAGAATTTGATAACAATATTGGGTATGGACTTGTCTTTGCTATTGAAGTAGCAGAGAAGACTTGAGCGATATGTTTTCCAAGGGGACCAGTAGTTCTATGTTCTTTAGTAGTATTTAGCTAAAAGATCTCGCATCTATGTTCTTTAGTACTATTTAGCTAAAAGAGTTTAGAGCATCTAATTTTTGAGGGCCTGCCAAGGAATCGAGTACTTGCTTGTACCGGCTGACTCTACCAATATACCGGCCCACCTATGATACCACAAAATTTATGGTTCTCTACGTTGTTGATAAAGATGTGAGCTCTAGTTTTGGTCGAAGTTAGAGGTACATACATTAGGTGATATTAATCCTTACAAATCCACATATCATCACAGAACCGTCGTACAAGTAGAAAGGATATAGAAACACTCGTCTCGTTTTCATCTACTTATAGTTCTTTAGTACATTGGACAATTTTATGTCTTTCCACAAAACATAAGAAGACTTAAACCTTTATCCCACATATTGTATCTTTGTTCCGTTTCCGAATTCTGAGCTTGTTCTTTTGTTATGTTTGTCATTGTCTAATGATTTAAAAGAAAATGATGTCTCTGTAAATATGATAAAAACTTGAATAAATAAAATGGAAATACACACAGAAATTAATTGTAACATGTAATTTGAGGAAATGCACCATGTGATATCTCTAGAGTCTCCCTTTTCTCTTCTCTTGTATCGTCATAAGATCTCTGATTTGAAGCCCTAAACTCTTAAAACCTTTTGATATAATCTCTCCCCCAAAATTGTTATTACGAGATAAGATGCTCTAACCAAACTAACAAGATGAAAAAGAAGGAAGAAGAGCATCAATTCCAGTTGGTACACCATATCAGACCAGCGCAGCCCAATCAAATGTGGAAAGCTGCATGCTTCTCGAGCCGCGACTATGACTGACCCGATTTTACGTCTATGCTAGTGGTTGCACTCAATCTTCTCTGGCCTATCAGCATTTGCTTAAGCTGGCTTGTTACTCGAAGAAGGTACTTTCCTTGACCTCTTTGTGGTATTGGTTGCCTTTTAGATTCATGACTGCAAATTTCATTAGCTAATGACTCACACTGGCTGTAACCACCCTCTAAAGAAGAATCTGACCTATCTCTTGCAACCATGCTTCCAACAAAGCTTCCCTAACCGATCAATGCCCAGATTATGCAAAAAATCCTCAGTTCCTCACGTGTTATCAACAGTTTACAAGGGTTAGATCAATTTGGGTTTTCATCTGCATCGATCACACCAAATCAAAGGACTTTAAGAAATCAAACTTCACTTAGACTAGTAGTTCCTAGTACCTTATAACCACTTACACTCAAATCAAAGGACTTATAACCATGCTTCTAACAAAGCTTTCTCAAACCAAACGATGCTCAGACTATGCAAAGAATCCTCAGTTCCTTACGTGTTATCAACAGTTTACAAGGGTTAGATCAGTTTTCATCTGTATCGTTCACACTCAAATCAAAGGACTTTGAAAAATCAAACTTCACTTAGTTCCTAGTACCTTAATCCACTGTTTTACAATTTCTGCAGGGCCTAGTAACCTTCTAATCAGATGCTCTGCTGAAAACCAATTCTCTTGAATCTGCACGATAGTCTGTCTAATCTTACAATCGCTACATTGGTGGAGTATAGCCAGGTAGAATGCACACCTATTACATGCTTCGCCACAAAAGCCATCAAGGCATCTCCTGAGAGGTGATTTAGATTGATTTACAAACATTTGAGTATGTAATTCAACACATCTCCATGATGCCTTGGATCACAGCTTGAGCGCCTCACAGGCCTGCAATATAGAATTACTTACTCTATAAAATGCACTATCATGAGGAAAAGAAGAATATTTCATATGGATATATGAGTCCACACAAGGAAAGCAGGAGCAGGTTTTTATCCAGTCTTCATACTTGAGTCCTCGACAATTTGCAAATGCAATGATACAAAACGCATCAAATAGCTTCCATTCAATCAATGGCTTCTTGCAGAACACAAGGATCTTGTCCTCTCAGGAAAATTTGGAAATACAGTGATACAAAAATCAGGCTTTGGACCAAGATCAGAATGCAAAATGTAGGAGAAGATTTTCAAGGATGTCAAATCCACCCATTGGCATCATTCGTTGTGTGTCACCAATTCCTCCATAAGAAACAGAAAACTTACACAGTGACTAAAGATGATTCACCAAACCCTATCCAATTCAGCTAATTCTGACACACAATCTATAGGTGGCCAATAAGTAGAGATGATGACTCACCTTTCTTTGGTGACGGAGAAGATCGCATGAGCTAAGAGACGAAGTAGCGGAGAATTCTAATAAGAACCGTAACGACGGAGAGAGGGATCAAAACCCAATCTCTGATCGCCGTGTCGAGAACCAGATCTTCCGCGATTTCAAATTTATCTCTAATTCTTCTTCTCTGAGCTCGATCGATCCGACCCGGTGAAGAAATTACAATCAACTAACCAAAATTGGACCAATATAACCGATAAACCCGAAATAACCGCATACGATAGAAAATAAAATCGAATTAACAAAAACCGACCCGCTTTATGTGATTTCGGTTCCAATCCAATTCGAAATTAAACATTTTTTTTTAGGTGGACTCGTGTCCGTTTTGTCTCCACTAAATTTTAGAAGATTTTTTTTTAGTAAACGTAATTTATCTACAATGGATAAATACGTATTTAGTAAACGAAATTCTCTATATAATAGTATAAGAATGAGACAAAGAGAGAATATCAAAATATTACTACAGAAGAAAAAGATAATGGTTGACAAAAAAAAAAACAAATATATATAAAGATATGTAATTAGGAGACGGTTTTGAGAACCTTGAACTACACTACTTAACTATTAACTACAGAGACTAAAATTTGCTACTTCTTATGTTCCATTTTATAAAATTTTCTATTTAAAATACGGAATTTTGTTTTTCTTACATAACATATATTATTTAGTATTTATTTACAAAATTGTAGATTATAAATGATCATAGCATACTAAATAAATTGTTTGCCCCAAAAAAAAAAAGCATACTAAATAAATATACATTATGCATAAAATTTCGAGAAAATCAAATAAAATGTAACAAGTGAGAATTCTTAAAACATCTAATAAAATGATATATATTAATGTGTCTATTACTCCGATATAGGGAGTAGATGTTTAAACAAAACAAAAATGGAATTTTATCTAACAGTCGTTGCTTGAATCTTGATCACCATTTTTTACATACTAGAGAAAAAAAATTATATAAGGAGTATTAGAAAGCCTTGGATAAAATGGGCACATTAATGTGTCTATTACTTTATTTATGTGTCCAATATTTCCGAAAAGTGCTCACCTTATTAACTAATACTCCATTATTCCATAAAATCTCGATACATGCCTAATATATTAATTAACTAATTGATTATTTTTAATATATATGATAACTAAAGTGTTCCAATATGTGGTGAAAAATATCTATTTCTAAAATAAATAAATAAGTTATGCTCTATTATATAATAAATGATGTTTTAGTCAATACTTTGAATTAGGAATGCATCTTATAATCTGCTTATGGTTTAATATATTTAACATATGCATATATCTCTTATTATGTAATGTCGAATGAAATGATTTGTTTTAAAGTCAAATATCAAAATATGTCTTAAATAGATGGACAATTAAATGCAAACATAGTTCAAGTTGATCGAAGATTAGATTTCTCGTTTTGGTGATGGTTTGAAAAAGATTCTCATATATTTCTGTTGGCTCCATAAATAGACAATACTGCAATCAAACGGATCCATTACCACTACTTGACATCATCATCAAACTAGATAAACCGGGAAGTGGATTTACCATACAATTTGCTAGCATGGATCATATTGTTTAAAAACCTTTAAAATGATTTCTTTAGACAAATTCTGAATGTAGACTTTATATCATCCCTGATCGGTCAAATTTGTTGATTGAATCATTTGAACAAATAGCTGATGCAAGCCCTATTTCACTTCATAGTGACCTCTTAATTCATTTTAAAGAATAAGAAGTAGTAGGTGAAGGCGTCATTCGTGAATGGTTTTCCTAGGTCTGCGAAAAAGCTTTTTTAGCCGAAAAGCGAGTTGTTCGTTCACTCCTGGCATCCTATGTACACGTGGAGCACCTCAAATACTTTCGGTTCGAGGGTAGAGTCATTGCTTTGGCGTTGAAGAATGAAGTCCAAGTAGGTGTGCTCTTCGACCATTTTTTTTTATCTCCAGTTAGCGGGAAAAATAGTCTCGTTAGAGACATAAACACCGTTGAGATAGAGAGTATAATTGTTGCTTGCAAATATTAAAAATGAGTCAAGAAGAGTTCGATGAAGCTGATATTGGTCTGAGTTTTCTATAGAGATTGAGGCGGATTTGTTAAGGAAAACTAAGCTTTTGCTATACGAACAAGGTAAGATATTGCAGTTACCTTAGAGAACCGAGAGAGTTACATCGATATGAGAATAGAGAATCTCTATAATGACACTTATAAAAGATCAAGTGTCACTGTTTATTCAAGGTTTTGAATAAATGATCAATAAACAGTTTATTCAAGTGATACTTTTTTTCATTCAAGTTTAAGTGTGTTAAAAAAGAAAAATGACCTTTAAATTTGTAAAAGAAATATGATTGTCAAAAAAAAAATGTATATTTTGTTATATCACCACAAATCAAAGTATATACTATGGTTTTATATATAAATGAATTTGGTATATACTTTGAATTTTATAATATATATATATATATATATATATATATAATTTGAAAGTCATTTTTCTTTTTAAAAATACCATAACATATATATATATATATATATATATATATATATAACTGACCTTTGAATTTATTAAAATCAAACTGAATCTATAAAGAAAAATGAATTTATAAATACCATCATATATACTTTGATTTTTGGTGTTTACGGATATATATATATATATATATATATATGAATTTGGCATGTACTTTGAATTTCATAATATATATAATTCAAAAGTTATATATTATTTTGTGGTATATTTTGTTATATCACCAAAAGTATATACCAAAATTTTATTATATAATTATTTTGTGGTATATTTTGTTATATTATTTTTTAATAAAATTAAGTTATAATTTCTTATTTTAAATGTTTATCAAAATAAATAAATAAATAAATAATTTTTTTTATATAGAAGCCATTTTTTCTTTCTTTTATATTTGTTTTTGGTCAAAATTGGGTTAAAATATAGTTAAAACCGATTAACTTTTGGTTAAATTCTGGGTAAGTCAAACCAAATTAAATATTACCGGTTAACTGATCGGTTCAATTGGAAACGTAGTTTTAAGAACAAATTCGAAAGTACATGTAATTTATTGAGATTCAAGTTTTTTTTTGTGGTTTTTTAAGACGCAAAAAGTTTGCGAAGTTGAGATTGCAACTAGTGTAAAGATGAAAAATCAGCCAATACCAAAAAATGTGATTGTATGAAAAAAGAGAGAAGCAAATATGAAGTGGCAAAATATCACAACTTGTATATATTGGTACCAATCAAAATAATGAAGTATTTAATAGGTATATTGATCAATATACTAAAACTATAAAGGTTTCTATTTTGATCCTCTTTTCTTCGATATGTAATATATAGTCATATCATATGTATGGGAATCATGAGAACCGGACATAACCAGAGCTGAACCAAAAGTAAGTCCAAAACCTCTACAAATCATATAAATTACAGACTAAACCAACTCATACGAAAATATTGTTACCGAAGAAGTAGTAGAGATCACTTATGAAGAAAATTGTAGATAACCAAAACACAAGAATCTACGCTATCAGCAGAAAATAAAAGGATAAGAGCAAGAGCTTCGATTGAACAAGTGGTCTTTACCGCACAAGTTTTTTCAAAACGGATTCTGCCCGGTGCTCGAATCGAGGTAGAGCCCATTCATGTTGAATTATGTCGAGACCATCCTTCTCTGCACTCAGGCTCTGCGGACAATTTTGCAAATGCAATTATACAAAATCAGGCTTGGACCAAATTCAGACAGAATAAAAATTGTAGGACGATTCAAGGAAGTCAAAAAGTAAATAAAAGCCTAAAAAAGGTATGAATCGATAAGACAAACAAAAACAGAACGGTCATATGATGCAAGAACGGGAAGGTAATATTATATTTACCTTTGATGCATCGAATCCAAATCCACCCATTTGCATCATTCGTTGTGTGTCATCAATTGCTGCATAAGAAACAGAACACTTACAGTGACTAAAGCGGATTCACCAAGAAAGTACGATAGCTCAAAGTCAGGGCTTTTGAGGAAGACGTTATGAATGAATTAGTAAGTATCTGAACACTAACCATTTTCATCTCCAAGAATGAGACTGAATAAGCCTCTTAATCCAAACAAGTTTAAGAAGTACCTGAGACATAGAAGAACAGCCCATGAAACAAGAGGTGTAAACAAAACCCATATAAAACTACCACGCCCTGTTCTCTACGTAACGAGATACATACCAAGAACGGCTGCTCACGTAGCTAACATCAACAGTGCTCAGGTCGATTCCATTCTGTAACATAGACCTGAACCTTTGAGTCAGCGGAAATGGTATTTTGGCTGTAAGATAAGAGTAGGAAGTTTCAGAAGCTATGGAATACAAACGCAGGACAATAGTATTTCAAAAGGAACCGGAAAGGCAAACAACGTGATCCATCATAAATGCGTCTGTGAAGCTAAAAAAGGATTAAGATGAGACAGTATTAAAAGGGAAAACAAACCTGCAACAAACCCAGAGAAGAAGAAGTTGACCCATGCAAACGTGAGCGTCTGGAAGATAGTAGAATTCATCAGTTTCCTAATTTAGTGATGATAACATGACAAGAGATGAATTGCAATTCATTTACCTGTGGTATAATCATTGACAGATTTTTCTTCATCATATCCATGGCCATGTTAGGATCAGAAAACATCTGGGCTTGAGGATTTTGAGTTTGATCCTTGGGAACATGTAGCAACCCATTTTCCTGCAGAAAACAACACTTATGTCTGAGTAACCTTATTTGAACAGACACACTATACTACTGAGAAACCGCTGGTAAATATCTTGTACATTGCAATCTTGTCTTAAGAAAAACAAAGAGACAACACAAGAACGAGAAGAAATACAAAAAACAAGCTGTCATCATGCCAAAATGCATGCAACAACTCTTGGTAAACTAGTAAAGAACATAATTTCAGGATATGGAAGACATCTAATTCTACACAATTCTACAGAATCATTGCACACACGATAAGAATTTCCTTAAACTTATACCCAATCTTAGAAGCCAGAACCTTTAGTGCATTGGAATGTTTTCAAATTGTCATAATAAAAGCCTTCGATTTAACTAGTTAAAAGCTCGAATTATCTCAAGGAACTAAAGTAGATTAAACAAACAGAAGTTTTCATTAAGAACAAATCAGATAACAGCTGATAAACTACTAGCTCATGAAGCTCTAATCACCCAATACAGCTTGGTAATGACATAGTAGGAATCTCAAAGTTACAAACTTTCCCTAATAAGAAACTGAGAAACACAAACAAATCACAGAAACCATACCTCATTGCTAAAGTAGAATCTCCGAGCTCGGAACGATTTTGGCGGGATAAAATTAGCACCAGCCTTCAAATTCCTAGCCCTAATCACAACTTGTCTGGAAAATTCAAACCCATCAAAATCCAATTCAGCTAATTCTGAAAAATCAATTTACACAAAGAAGGAGAAGAGAAGATGAGTCACCCTTCTTTGACCATCTTCGCATCTGGAGTCGGAGAAGATCGCATGAGCTTAGATACGAAGTAACGGAGAATTCCAATAAGAACCATCACGACAGAGAGAGGGATCAAAACCCAGTCTCTGATGGCTGTGTCAAGAACCAGATCTTCCGCCATTGATAAGTCTCTTCAACGATCTCTTCTTCGTCTCTTAGCTCAATCCGATGAAGAAATTACAATCAAATCGAGAGACTAACCAAATTGGACCGATATAACCGATTTAAACCGAAAAATCCGATCCGATAGAAAGGAAACCACACGTTCCGACTGGACACGTTACCGGACTTAACCGAATCCATTGTCACCAACCCGAACCAACCGGATTCACCGGAACCGGACCCGAATCCATTATGATTTTAGTTCTCATTTCTCGACAACACTCAAAACCTCAGACTCGAAAATTCATTTCTCTCAAATCCTCTGAAACCCTAATTCCTCTCTCTCTCAATTTTCTTCGTGGAAACAAAAATGGCGGAATGTCCGATGGATCTCATCAACGAGTTGTTCCTCCGTCTCGCAGCAACTACGCTTGTACGTTGTCGCGCCGTCTCGAAGCCTTGCTTCTCTTTGATCGACAGTCCCGAGTTCATCTCATCTCATCTCCGTCGCAGACTCGAAACAGGACAACATCTCATGATCTTACTCCGAGGACCTCGTCTTCTACGTACGGTGGAGCTCGACTCGCCTGAGAACGTCACCGACATCCCTCATCCTTTACAAGCCGGAGGTTTTACAGAGGTTTTTGGTTCCTTTAACGGTGTCATCGGGTTATGCAACTCTCCTGTTGACATAGCGATTTTTAATCCTTCCACAAGGAAGATTCATCGGTTACCGATTGAGCCACTTGATTTCCCAGAACGTCACATCACTCGTGAGTATGTGTTTTACGGTTTGGGTTATGATTCTGTTAGCGATGACTTTAAAGTTGTGAGGATGCTTCAGTCTAAGCTTAAAGGAGGTAAAGAGAATTTTGGTTACCCTGTTGAAATCAAAGTTTTCAGCTTGAAGAAGAATTCGTGGAAGAGAGTGTGTCTTATGTTCGAGGTTCAGATTCTTTTCATTCACTACTATTACCATCTCTTGCCTCGTCGTGGTTATGGCGTGCTAGCTAACAATCATCTTCACTGGATTTTGCCTCGAAGGCAAGGAATCATTGCCTTTAACACGATAATCAGATTTGATCTTGCCTCTGATGACCTTGGAGTCCTCAGTTTCCCACGGGCTCTTTACACTGAAGATGATATGGATATTGGTGTGTTAGATGGCTGCGTTTGTTTGATGTGTTACGACGAGTTTAGCCATGTTGATGTTTGGGTTTTGAAGGAGTATGAAGATGTAAAATCTTGGACTAAGCTGTTTAGGGTGCCGAAACCAGAGAGTGTTGAATCGGTTGACTTCATGAGACCTCTGATCTATTCCAAGGACAGGAGCAAGATTTTACTGGAGATTAACAATGCGAAGAATCTCATGTGGTTTGATTTGGAAAGTAAGAGTCTTACAACTGTTGGAATAGAGTGTGATAGTTCATTTACCGCAGACATCCTCGTGAGTAGCCTTGTTTTGGGATGTAAAGGAGATCCTACTGAAGCTCAGCGCAGGAAAGATCAAATGGTGCCGAAGAGTAACAAAAGGTTTTATGCTCATCTCTAGCCAGTGTTTTCTTACTCGTTTTGTTTCCTTGATAGAATTGTAGAAATGGATAATAAGGCAAATGTTAGTCTTAGGTCTCTTTATTCTTTGATGTGTTACGGTTGCAAATGGTTAACTGTATCAACATGCTTAAACATCTAGTGTTACAATCTCAGGGATGGTTTTCTGTCCAAGGGATTCAAGCTGAAGCTATGAGCAAAGCGGGGGGAATTTCGGAGCCTAAACATTAGATCAAGGTAAGTGTAACTGTGTAATGAATCTAATGATATCGAGTATTTCCCTCAAGTTGGCATCTTCTTTTCTTTTCGATGTGAGATTTCCATCTGAACATAGATACATTATTGGATGTCTTAGGAAGTGGAACTTGAGTAAACGCCGGTTTAACATAAACAGTTTAGGAGCTTCATATAAAATCTGACTATTTCAAGTGTTATTGATTTTGAAACATGTAGATGCAATCTTGATCTGTGTTGGATTTTCAGGTACAGTAGCAGTAGCAGTAGCAGTCGCAGGGGGAAAGGAAATGGCAAAATCCTAAACCCATATGAGGTCTTCTTAGTACTAATAAGCTTAACCTATGTACGTAGTATTTCGTACGGAAATATGGTGTTCTTCTATATGTAATCGACTGGAGTCTATATGTAAAACTCTCGATCTCAAATCCTCAATCAAAAGTAAAATCAGGTTGCAAATATTGTTACTGAAGAGGATTTACTAGAGAACACATTGTTATGACGTTAATCGTAGACAACAAAAAAAAGGAAAGAAAAGGAGATGTGAAACGATTTAACCAAACTAAACCGAAATAATTGAATAAGACAGGGATAGCCGACAACAAAGGTCGGTTCGGACCCAAATTCACAACCCGAACACCCGACCCGAATCATGTTTCTATATATACCTTCTTTTTTTTCGGTAAAGGACCGATTTCTTAACATTGTCAAATCTTTTAAAAACCCTAATTTGATTCTCTGAGCTTATTGAGAACGAAGAAGATGGCGGGAGAGGCAGTGAACCCTAAGGCGTATCCGTTAGCAGATTCTCAGTTATCGATAACAATACTGGATCTTGTTCAACAAGCTACTAACTACAAGCAGCTTAAGAAGGGAGCTAATGAAGCTACCAAGACATTGAACCGTGGGATCTCTGAGTTCGTTGTTATGGCTGCTGATGCTGAACCACTTGAGATTCTTCTTCATCTTCCTTTACTTGCCGAAGATAAGGTTATCATCTCTTCCTCTCTCTCTCGATTAGCAAGACTTGTTTCTTTCTGGAAACAGTCTTTTTGCGTTAAAGATCTTGTGTGTCGTTAGGCTAGTTTTATCAGATTTTGGTGGCTCTTAGAAGCTTAAGACGCCATTTTCTCTGTTGACTTGTGTCATGGAAGTTTCTCTGTTTAATTCAGTTTGATCCTCATTGCATCTATATAGTTGTTGGGGTATGCTTCAATTTCACTCTTGAGGAAGACCTGATTTATTATAGCTAAAGTTTATCATAGTTTAATGTTTAAAAAAAATGTAGCTTCGAGTTCACTCTTGAGGAAGTCATGATTCGTTATAGCTATAGTTTATCCATTTTAACTAACTCTTTCTTTCATTTCTCTCCATTTTAATGCAGAATGTGCCGTATGTGTTTGTACCTTCGAAGCAAGCATTGGGAAGAGCATGCGGAGTAACGAGATCTGTGATCGCTTGTTCAGTGACATCGAACGAGGCAAGCCAGTTGAAGTCACAGATTCAGCACCTGAAGGATGCGATAGAGAAGCTCCTGATCTAAGGAATTTTGTTCGGTATGAAGAGTCTCTGCAATGTGGAGTGGCTCTGACTGAAGTTAGTTTGTGCAATTTACGTATTTGGAGATTGTATTGTGAGAGATTTTGTATCTACTGGTGTGTTCATGCATTATTTTGTGGAACATCATCACTCATTTGTGCAATTGAGTTTCTTAGATTTGGATTTTGGTGCTTGGTTCACTAACTACACTAACGATCTACTTAAGGCCCATTATGAAAAATTGAAAATTATTCTTATCTTCGCACACTTGCTACAATTTTTGATTTTTCATCGCTTTGCTTTGTTCACAAACTAAAACATTCTTTTATTCGTTTGTTCCACACTTTGCGTAATAGAAAATAAAAATCTTTGTTCTTCACAAAGCTTTTTATAAAGTGATGTAATCTTCTTATGGAGTCAGCAAAATCAATACATTTTACAAGCAATGGCATCCTCTTATATGTCTATTACACAACCAGTGGTTTCGTCTAACTCTAAACTACGTTCAGGGATAAATAGCTTTAGCTCATGCTCAAGTTACACGAAGAATTCTCGCGTGTTATCAACACTTTGCAAGGGTTCTATCAATCCGAGTTTTCATCTCGATCTATCACACTCAAATCGAAGCACTTCGAAGCATTACACAAGAGTAAGAAAATTAGAATCAGATTGGGAAGAGAGCAAAGATGAAGAGAAATCTGATCAGGAAGAGAGCGAAGATGAAGAGAAATCTGATTGGGAAGAGAACAAAGATGAAGAGAATGACAATAACAAGGAAGACCGTCGAGCGGAGGAGACGGTTCGAAAGCTATACACTGATATCAAGGACCGAAACATCATGGAGAAAGACTATCAGGCAGAGGAGACAGTTCTAAAGCTATACTCCGATATCAAGGACCGAAACATCGATGGAATTTCAGAAGTTATTGGAGATGAATGCCAGTTCTTTTCCAACTTTTTATCTAAGTATCGACTTTTGCAAGGCAAGAAGGTAAGGATGTTGTTTAGGTAACTTAATAACCTTTCTTTTACAAAGCTTTATTTTAGGAATCCGTGTTATAAGGGTAATATGGTTTTATAAATGCAGCAAGTTATGGCTTTCTTCTACTGGTTGATCAAGAAGCTGGGAAAAGATATCAAGATTATTGTTAAACCAACGTTCAAAGACGGCATGACCGTTGGAGTTCAATGGCAACTCGGTTAGTGTCCTAGTTTCAATATCCTAAACCGATTTAACTAATAACCTTCTCCAGAATACCAAATCGGAACAAGTCTTCTTTTCACCAGACCATGATATTACATAACCGGAGAAAATAAAAGACCAAACCAAAATTGACCAATCCGATTAAAATGATTGTTCTTACGACGGTTTACCTGTAATATGCAGAATGTGATAAGTCACACATCCAATTGGGGAAGGGATTCAGTTTCCACATTTGCCATATGTACCAGGGAAAGCTGTTGATAAAGTCAGTATTCGTTCCTGTCCAAATTTAGTTTTCATACCGCCGTGATCATGACCATATATATAAACCAAAACAATGCAGGAATGTTGAGATGTTCATGGAGCCAATTTTCCACATAGAGCATCTAAGACTAGTGAGCCTGATCAATTCGATGAATCATGTCATGTTCATAAGATTTATGTGAGTCACTTACTTAGCTATTGTGGTTTATCCTTTTTGTTCTGATGCAGAGAACTATGGCGTTTGCAGTGAGTATGGCTGAGAAGATATTCACTTTGTTGAGACCAGGGGAAAACACAAGGAGACAAGCAATGATACTCCTGCTACTTGCTCTTCTGCTGCTTGCTGCAGCCGCTTTCTACTTCACACGACTGAGTTTCTGATAAAAACACGCGAATAACATGGAAGATAGCAGGAAATAAAACCATAGAAAATAAGATTTTTCTATCAGTAGGATGCAAATATTTCCAACAGGGAAAACATAGTTAAACACATGAGTTTTTTTTTTTCCTAAGACATTCATGGGTGAATGGCGTTAAATACAAAACATATGCGCCATTTCACCCTTAACACTAGAGTTTCAGTACAATACTAAATACAACATCAACCTAACCATGTCGATACACAACCAACTAAAACAAAGAACCCAACGGAAGATTAAAATAGCATTAACGGAAGTTAAAAGTGAAAAGGTTCTTTTCTTCCCTATCAGAGTTCTACACCAAGGAGTCATAAGTAGGTTCCCTAGATACACCTGCAAGAGAGATGTGATACAGAAGTCAGTTGCCACTTTTGGACAATGCTAATATATATATATCATAATTTGTGAAATCAAACTTCACTTACACTAGTAGTTCCTAGTTAATTAAGTCAGACCAGAAGATATCACGACTGCTTGTACATATGGCGCCTCAGCATCTCATTTATCCCCACAGCTGAAATGCTTTCACATCCAAGAAGATCGCGGAGCTTTTCATCACACTGAATAGCCATTGGATTTACAGGGTCCTGCAAAAAAATTGAAGAGCAGAATAAACAGATCTTCGTTTTCCTGTTTATGACCATTCAAAGAGCTCTATAACATACAGCAATGTGAAATCCTATACTGTAAATTATCTTATAGAGTAATCCAACAAAACAAGCTTTTGTTAGCAGCAAACAGAAAACTTTTGGGAAGCAGTAAAGGAGAAACCAGAGGATTTCAAGACCCACAAGGACCTTAGATAAAATCCTCACCTCTAAATTGTTGAGTTTTATGTATTCCCAAACACGACGAATGATCTCTTTGTCTGTCATCTCCGCCTCACCAGTGCCAAAGAACTTAGCAAGTGGCTCAGATAATGCAACAGTTGAACTAACAGCAGCTGAACTAACAGCAGTTGAATTAACAGGCTCTGTGGTCTCAGTCTTAGTCTCCACCTCAGCTTTTGCCTTTTTTGCTTGACCAGAGTCCTCTGCCAAAAGTCAAAAAGTCAGTAACATTGAACTAACCAAGAACAGTTGGGACTCAGCAAAAACCGCTTGTAAATGAACCATTACTTGATGGATCAAGCGGGAGAATATGCTTAGCAAGCAACTTATTCATCTTGAACATGTCAGTGCAATCAGTCTCAAAAACCACACGCAACGCATCATCACAGATGATCTTCCGCTTGTTACTCGGATCTTGAAGGTTATTCTTCCTTATATAAGCCCACAGTTGCCTCACAATCTGAAACCAAAAGCCAAATACAGCAACACATAAATAAAAAACCAATTGCTTATACACATGGGAGTGACAGATAGTCATAATCGTGAATGGAAGAAGGTGCTAGCCTCAGTTCTGGGAAGAGCAGGTTCACCAACAACGACTTGAAGTTCTGGAGAAACCCTACAGACTTTATTTAGTCCTCCAGGACCACCCTTTCTTTTAGTTCCAGCCGGAGCACTGCAATAGAGAACATTGAGGAAAAGTTGACAAACCCAAGTAAGTCATAAAAGAAAATTCCAATTTTAGCTCCAGCATAAAGAAATACCAACTATAATACAACGGTGTGTGTGTGTATCAATGAGCTAAAAATATCGAAGGATGATAATTCTAAACTTGGGCATGTAAACCTAAAACAAAGTAAATGAACAAAATTGACCTAAGACTTAGACATTCCTAAAAAGGAAAATCATGTTTCCCACGAAAGTACCAAAAGCCCTAATTACTGGAATCGGAACAACTTTCAGCAAAATTACGAACATTTGAAGCTCAAATCACCGAAATCGAACCCTGAATTATGTTGCGAACCCTACCTTTCTTTTGGGGCCTGATTAGCGCCTTGTGAAAGCATCACAGAGGATTGTTGCCGCGGAGACTGGTGCTGGTGCTGGTGCTGATGCTGTTGCGGCGGCATGTAAACCGGATAAGGCTGCCGGAAATTTAGGTCATAAGAGTGATAAGGAGGCTGAAGAGCGAAATGTGGAGGATATTGTTGTGATTGAGAAACAGAGAATTGCGAAGGATGGCTAAGTGTGAAATGCCCTTTCGCCACCGGAACATTGACGCCGGAATGCAAATTCTGCTGAGAAGACGGCGGCGGAGGATGAGATTGTTGTACGGATGAAGCGGAGGCGACGGAAGCTGAAGGGATTTGGTGAGAACGGAGGAGAATATTGATCTGATCTCTGATGAAAGTCGTCTTCTCCGTGAGGTCTAACCCTAACTTAGCTTCAAGCTGTTGAACAACACTGGTTAACGATGTGAGAGAGCTAGGGTCTGATTGCCGAAGCAAAGTCTCGACTCCTTTTGCTAGATCCTGGTCCGACACCATTGTCGAGAGAATTTCAAAGCTTTTTCATACACCAAAAAAAAAATCTTTAAGGAAAAAAAAAAAACAAATACCCCACAAGAAAAAAAAAAACAAATTCTCTCTATCTCTTTCTCTCTCTTATCTTCTTCTTGCTTCCTCTTTCTCTCTAATCTTGTCTCTTTCTCTCTCTCTTTATAACTGTTGGAATGACGAATATACCCTTAAGGGTTGGTTAGATTTATCAAATGATGACAAATGTCGGTATTACCCTTGTGAGTCATGGTATCTAAGGCTTATAGGTAGAGGTTGTTGTCGTCTTATTGCTAATCTGTTTGCTTTTTACTTCTTGGCCAGCTGGCTTTAACTTGAGAACTCATCTCTTTAACTCGTGTAAATGTCGAATATGTCCCTGTAGGTTTTGACGCGTTTACTGTTGTTTGTTTCGAGATGCTTGAGGGTATAATGGTAATTCGTTCAGTATCGGATCGAGATCAATAGCCGTACTGCAAAAATGGAACAGATTGCTATTGGGCTATAACAGTACGGCCCAATAAGAAATATTCGGCCTTTTAAGCGAGTGAATCTACTGGGGGAACTTGAGTCGGCTCTTGAAGCATTTTTTGTTGTGTGTCGAATTTCGAATTTTCTCGGGAAAATTGGCGAGAAAATTGGGAACGAGAGATAAGTGCGAGTAGATTCACGACTGTCGACTCTTGTGATCTGAAGTATTTGGCGTTTATTTGGAAGAATCATTGCTTCTTTGGTTGAGGATCTTCGTGTGTCGCTGGGATTTTGTGTTCTAGGGTTTTTGAAGCAAGCTTTAGCGTAAGGAAAATCTTGAGAATGAAAGGTGAAAGAGAAGTTAAGAATGGTGTTTCTGAGGACGAGAGAGAGGTGAAGAGGAAGAGAGTGATGGAACGGTCTGATTCACCACCTCCACCACTCGGTTTCAACAATCCTCTTTTGCCGTTGGCTAATGCTTACGATGATGATGATGAGGAAGATGATAACGAGCAGAAGAAATCGCAAACTCGTGGTAATGGAATTGCGAAAGGTGAGGGAAATGGTAACAAAGTGAGAGGAGAAGTGGTCGACGACGAAGATGATGATGATGATGATGATGAAGCTTCGAAGGGGAGGGGAAAGCATTCACGCCATGTTGAAGTTCGTCGTGATTGTCCTTATCTTGATACCGTTAATCGTCAGGTAATTTTCACTGTACCAGTTTCAAGTGTTGGTTCTTGTAATGTATCTATGGTCGATCATTAAGCTTCTGCTGACTTCATTGTAAAGTATCTTGTGTTGTATTTCAGGTGTTGGATTTTGATTTTGAGAGGTTTTGCTCTGTCTCCTTGTCAAATCTGAATGTGTATGCGTGTCTTGTTTGTGGGAAGTACTTCCAAGGAAGAAGCCAGAAGTCTCATGCTTATACACATAGCTTGGAAGCAGGACACCACGTTTACATCAATCTTCTGACAGAGAAGGTTTATTGTCTTCCTGATAGTTACGAGATCAATGACCCTTCTTTGGATGACATTCGACATGTTTTAAACCCAAGGTATGTTGGATCTTGTGACTACTACTTCTTGATGTGTTGTGTGCAATCAGTTTTTTCTTGACAGTTCAAACTATTATTACCCGCATTGATATGTGAATTTGTGGCCTTACTATTGTCTCTATCAGTTTCGTCTTACTAGTTCTCTGTATCATCTGCCATCCATTTATATTGGATCTTGTGACTGCTACTTCTTACTGCTTTGTGTGCAATCATTCTCCATGTTCAAAGTATTTCTACCCGCATTGATTTGTGAACCTATGAGCCTTTGCACGTACTTAACAAAATAAAATTCTTTGTCTATCATCTCAAGCTATCTCAATCAGCTTCTTCTTGCTAGTTTTCTGTATCATCTACCATCTATTTTTTTCATTGCATGATAGCTTGAACATATTACTCTTCTTTCATGCTTTGTCAATTTTTCTTTGATTTTTCAGTTCCTTTTTATGAAGGCTTCGGTGCTATCCATTTACAGGTTTAGTAGAGCACAAGTAGAGGAGCTTGACAAGAATAGGCAGTGGTCTAGGGCTCTTGATGGCTCTGACTATCTTCCGGGAATGGTAATCCTCTCTCTTTGATTACACCTATTTTTAAAAATAATTTGTCTCCTAAAGGTTTAGCTTGCAAATATGTAGGTGGGGCTGAACAACATACAAAAGACAGAGTTTGTGAATGTTACAATCCAGTCGTTGATGAGAGTTACTCCTTTAAGGAATTTTTTCCTCATTCCTGAGAATTATCAGCATTGCAAGTCCCCTCTTGTTCACCGCTTTGGGGAACTAACTCGCAAGATTTGGCATGCTCGAAACTTTAAAGGACAGGTCTGACTCAATTTATGCCTCTCACTTTTTTAGTTTTTGTTATGCCCTTACCTATTGAGGACCTCGCTAAATTAAGTTACCTTGCATCAACAGGTAAGTCCACATGAATTCTTGCAAGCTGTCATGAAAGCCAGCAAGAAACGCTTTAGGATAGGCCAACAGTCAGATCCAGTAGAGTTTATGTCGTGGCTCCTCAACACTTTGCACATGGATCTTAAAACTTCAAAGGACGCCAGCAGTATCATCCACAAGTGCTTCCAGGTATTTGTCCGTCCTTTGACATGTCGACCTAATGTAGTTTGATATAATTGCTTACGAATAACTGCATCTCCATGTAACCTTCTAACCGTTACAGGGGGAGCTGGAGGTTGTGAGAGAGTATCAAGGCAATGAAAACAAAGAAATCTCCAGGATGCCTTTTCTGATGCTCGGGCTAGATTTGCCACCGCCTCCTCTTTTCAAAGATGTCATGGAGAAAAACATAATTCCGCAGGTATACACCTCTTGCTTTAGATTTTGCAGTTATATGGCTATTTCAAACCTTGAAAGTCTTGCTACTCTGTCCCATTTACAAACTGCCTTTCAGAAAAGGGAACGTTTTTATCAATAAGATAATGTGAACTGCTAGAAAACTTTTAATTTCTCGATATACAGCTACATAATAGTGTCACATTTGGTTGAGATACAATAATAGGGATTCTTAAATAGTGGCTTTGCAAATTTACTATCCTTGAGTAAACTTTCTTTTTCGAATCCAGTTTAATGACTTGGGAAAGGGTAGAATTCTCTGAGTCCTTGGTTGTTTGGACCTCCTGTAGCCTTTATGGCTTGTTACCTTGTATATGCGTCTTTGAGTTTTTAGTTTGCAAAGTGAGGTTAGCGGAAACTAATTTCTTTGATGTTTGGGTCAGGTTGCTCTATTCGATTTGTTGAAGAAGTTTGATGGAGAAACTGTGACAGAGGTGGTTCGCCCTAAGCTGGCCAGAATGAGATATCGTATAACAAAATCTCCTCCTTACTTGATGTTCCATATGGTTCGGTTCAAGAAGAATAACTTCTTCAAAGAGAAGAACCCTACCTTGGGTTAGCCTTTTTGGAATTTTTGTGACGTTAATGTTGTATAAGGAATCCTTAATGCCTGTTTAATTGACCCATTGTTTGTCAATGCCACAGTTAACTTCCCAGTGAAGGACATGGAGCTGAGGGATTACATACCATCATTGCCTAGAGCACCAGAAGGCGAGAAGGTGTGTTCGAAGTATAATCTAATCGCGAACATTGTACATGATGGTAAGCCGGAGGACGGGTACTTCAGAGTCTTTGTGCAGCGCAAGTCACAAGAACTATGGTAAAGCTTTCTCGGTCTATGGTACAGGATCTATATATCTGAGCATAAATTAATTTGGGGATAATGTTTATTTCAGGTACGAGATGCAGGATCTTCATGTTGCAGAGACACTTCCCCAGATGGTGGAACTATCAGAAGCATACATGCAGATTTATGAGCAGCAGGATGAATAAAGAGCACTGGAAACATACTGACTTGATCTGGTTTAAGAGTAAAAGTTACCAGTTTTTTCTTGAAATTGAGGAGGAATGAGATTAGAGATTTGTTTCACAACTCTTTTTGGGGAAAAAAGATTCTTGAACCTCTTTAAGGATAGAGAGAGCATGTTGTTGCTATGGATAAAAAGACGCATATATGAGTTTTGGGAAGAGCTTTATGCATTGCGAAGAAAGTAAAAAAAAACACATGACTTTTGAGTTTCATTTCGGGAAAAATGTCGTTAAAATCCCCAACTTATTCAAAACGTTGATTTAAATCCTCAACTCATGACGAAACGAAATAAATATCAAACTTATGTTGACTTTCCAAATAAATATTAAACTTATGTTGACTTTCCAAATAAACACCAAACTTTCATTGACTTTCCAAATAAATATCAAACTTCCGTTGACCTGACCATATTAGGTACGACGTTAAGTGGGTTACTAAATCCTCAACTCATGACAAAACGAAATAAATATCAAACATATGTTGACTTTCCAAATAAATATCAAATTTATGTTGACTTTCCAAATAAATATCAAACTTCCGTTGACATGGCCATATTAGGTATGACGTTAAGTGAGTTAATAGATCTCGTTAACGAAGGTAATTTTCTGTTAACATATATGTTAATTGATAACGACATTGTTTCATATAACAACAAAACGACGTCGTTTTGTCGTAACGATTGAATTAAATCCCTAAAGTCAATCTTAGATCCCCAAATCGAGCAAAATCCCTAATCCTAAATAGAGTATGATTTGAAACTCGAGATTTTATTGAACAGTTAACACAAAACAACGTCGTTTTATGTTTAGAAGGAATACTTGTTAGTGTTTTGATCAACAAACGAACTCTGTTTTAACAGAGTATGAAGAACAAAACCAAAATGAAAAATAAAGTATGAAGACACGTGATCTCTATTGATAAGAAAAAATGTATTACACACAATGACGTTCTTGAGTTTGACTCGATCTACTTGTACCACACGAAACAACGTATTCGCACATGTGGGAATGGTAAAGACCCAACTTTACGAACACACACATCTGTACGTACGTACA